TCCAGGGCTCGGGTCATCAGCCCTCCTGCTCCATTTCTCTATGGGGAGGATCAGGGAAGAAGGTCTTGGCTGGGAAGAAAGGTAGATGTGGGCCCAATGGCTCAGGGGAAGAATCGACTATACTGATGAAACACAAAAATGCTCAACCTCACTAATAACCATGCAGACAGACGAATAAGATCCTCTGGAAATGTTTGAAATGAGGAAAAGATGTGGTCAGAAGATACTTTTCTTCAAACTGGAAGAAACTCCCTAGGCATAGCTCAAGATGTGAAATATTCAAATCCCAGATTTGGTAAAAGATCAAAAGAACAACAGGACACCGACAGAAATGCTAGACTTTTCACGTGAACACAATCACTAATAAACCAACTGTGCCGTTTCTGTTGTTAACCGGATGAACCATTAACTGCTGCTATGCTTATGACTATACTTGGGTTCGTTCTCGGTGTGGTTCACATCACACATCTTTCAGTTGTGCTCACTTCTGAGTCTTTGCTCAGGACCTTATACCAAACTACAGTGCTGAGAAATGTCAGTGCAGACTGGCTCCTCAGGGTGAGACTCCTTTTACTCCCCTGACAACTTCCCTGTAACCCTGCTTCATCCAGAGATTACCTGACCCACTGCCAGTTACACAAAGTTCCCAATTACCACACACGTTCTAGAAATTCATCTAAATGTAAACGAAGATCTACTTTTCCCATAAAAACATGTTATAAATGGTGATCAAGTTTCATCAGTATCTTTCTATTTCATCATGTGGCTGGACCAAGGACACAGAACACACCCACCATTTAGAACATGATTTCAACATCAAAAAAAAAAAAAATTTTTTTTTTTTCTTCAGGAAGCTCTAGAAGTTTAAAAAAAGTCCCCTCTGTAACCCAGTTTCTACAATGAAACATATTGAGGATGATGATAAAACACTAGTATGAAAGTCTGCTTTTGGAAATTTCTAACGACAACCTAATTTAATCTTTAAAACAATACCATTAAGTCAATGCTATTATTATTCCCTTTTACAGTGAAGGACATGCACAGGGAAGTCATGTGGTTAATACATGGCAGGGCCAGGATTTGATTTCATGTAAGAATTCGTGGGCTCAACCTGGGATTAAACTAGCCTCACGAGCCAAATCTGGTCTGTCACCTGTTTTTATAAATAATGTTTTATTAGCACACAACTGTTATCTATCTGTTGTTTGTGGCTGCTTTTGAGGTGAGTGGCTGGGACAGAGACTCTGAGGCCTACAGAGCCTAAACTATCTACTATGTGACCCTTTATAGAAAGTTTGCTGAGCAAGGACTAAACCACCATCCTCTGGGCACTTCGAGGCGAAGGCAGGCCCTCTCTCCAGCCCTGGCCATGAGCTTCAACGCAGGGAGGGGGTGCCCAGTAGCAGGAGGAACACAAGTCCTAGATCTTATCAGTTGTGAGGGGAGGTCCTGGGGAAATCACTGACCAGCATGGAGGGTTAGGATAAGCTTATTTCTCAAGAAGCTTCCTGCCTCGTTTACAAAAAGATCTGAAGCGGGGCCCAAAGGTACAGATGTAAGCTCCACAGACAGGAGGAAATGTTTGCTTTATTCATCGCTGGAGCCTTATTATTGAACAAATGAACAAATACATAACTTACGCTTGTGAATCAGGAAGTATGTAGACTTTATTTGAAGACAAACAGGGAACAGGGTAAAGGCCCAGGGATGGACTGTGACAGTGAGGTCAAGGTTCTGGTTTGTCTTTTACACAGATAAACTGCTCTAGCGGCACAGTGCATTACGGAATCAGGTCATTTTCCAACCATCCTGGGATTTCCTTGGCTCCTAAGAGCTTTTACTCACTGATCATTCTGTTTGCCTGAATTCTGGAATCAACAATAAATTTGAAATTTTTCCCCATGTTATCAGATAAATGCTAACATGGTGACAGGGCTCTGAAGGCTCATTTGTTTGGATTTTTATTCTATCAGATTGAGTGACTTTTGATTCCTGGAAGAGGACTTGAAAACCACACTTAGTTATTAGATAACAGAGCTGGGCACGGAAAGAACAACAACCCTGTGGACAATACCACTGAGTGATGCCCAGTCATGATTCACCATGGAACTTCAAGTTGAAAATTTCAGCTGAATCATACTGTTACCAGAGGGTGGGAAAGTATCTCTTAAAGACTGGGTGGAGGAGAAGAGGACTTGGATGATGGAAGGCAAGTCAGGATGGCAAGTACATGGAGAGATGTGGACAGAGGGGTGAGTCTACGGACACTGGGAAGCAGTCATACCATGGCCAGGAATGGAGAGGGAAGAATGGGGTGGGTATTAGAGAAAGTTCTCCAAACTGCACCCTGGTGCCTGGTGGCACCCTGTCTGGGGAGGCTGGCTGTGACCCAGAACTGCTCAAATGTGGACACAGCCTTTCTACTCAGGCATGCTGCTTCCTTATAAGCAGGGAGATATTACAAGTTTCACGTTTACGGACCTTAACAGCACACAGCTACATGATAACTCCTGCTTGAAATCAGATCTGAATATTCCATTTAAAATGCAACACAACAGCTATGGAAAAATTCTCAGCATCTCCTTGACACTACTGTAATCTAGCAGCTTTCTGTCTGGTCTCCTGCACCTCTAAGTAAATGAGTTAATGCAATTCCAGCAAGATCTAAGGGGCTGAAACATGTTTAAAGAAAAAGCCCAAATGTAGTTCGTGCAGGTGCTCTGAGCACAGAAGTCAGTAAGCTAGACAGCAGAGGCTCGGTGTCTCTGCTGCACTTGCCCTTGGGGGCTAGCAGAGCTCCAGTGTAAAGTACATTGCCAGGAGGGAGAAGAGTGACCAGCATGACACACATGGCCTCTAACGAGCCTCTAGAGAGAAATGCAATTCTGGCCTCAAGCCCTCTGACCTAGCCCCCCACCCCCTCCCTTTTTTTTTGAGTTTGGAACTCTGACCTTTATAAAAATCTAGACTCACTGCCCAGAAAAACAGGAAGGTTACTCACCAGGAAGCCATGGAAATGAAGCATGAAAAGTGGGTCAATATTTCTCTGTCAGCAAAGCTAAGTCTCAGACATTTCCAAGAGTGACACCATCAAGATGTCCCAATACTGTTCCTCCTCCCTCAACTGTGTTCTATACCAGCAGTTCCTGACCCGTTGGTTGCTAACGACCTAAAACTATGGCATGAAATTCAGCAAGGCTCCGTCTAGCTTCTCAGCAATCTCTCCTGCCTGGGACATCTGAGGAGTGCTGGCACTTGGGGTGCCAAAACTCTCTGGAAAGATTCATCCTTCACAGAGGTGGTGTGATGTTGGGGACGGGGCTCCTGTTCTGAACTATGAGGCAGAGGTGGGCGTAGCTAAAGGAGGAAGTGAAGGAAAAAAAATAAAAAAAAAAAAATAAACAGCTTTGTCTGGCATAGATACTTGCAGCTACCCCAAGCCTTAACACAGTTTTGCACTTGAATGCCTCTATTACCAGGCCCCTTTGGAAAGAACTTCACTTTACTTATAAATTTCTTTTTCTTCTGTATTTTTTAGGAGTAGAAATTGCAAGCTGGTTACTTCCAACTGAATTTTACCTGTGTCTATAGCAATAGATGTGTTTGGCGTACACCAAGCTTTGACTTTTAATTAGTTGCCAATATTAAAATAAGTCAGAAGATGTCATATAAAAAAATCTGGATTTTTGGCTTCTCTCGAAGAACCAGAACATCAGGTGGCATAGGACCCTCCTCTGTGCATGGCAAGGATCAGCAGATGCTGAGTAGCCCAGGCTACCCCCTTTAGACAGGGCTTGTGTTCACCAGCTTAATCCAGCCCCCACCCTGCTGTCACCAATCCTGAGCCCTGCTGTTTGTTGCCATTTACTGATATTCTTTGTGACTCATTAATGCTCCCGAGGGCATCCAGGCTCACAGCCCTGACCTTAAGTATTTGCCATCAACATCCACTTTAACCAAGTATCAGCCTGAAGAAAGCACTCTGAACATTTTTCTGTCTTACATCCTTAAGAATTCATTCTACCTCGATATGATCTACAGATTTCTTTGGGACAAACCTTTATTTCAGAGAAGGAAACTAGAGAGGGAGGAAACAAAACCAACAGCATCTCATTAGTGTCGACATTTCAGCCACAGTTCAGTATCTCTGAGCACACATGTGTGTATCTATGTGTGTGCGTACGTGTTTCTTTAGGGGATGGGAATTCTGAAAATCCTAATTAGCCTGAGGTACAGAAAGATTCAAAAAGAAATGAGCCGGTTACACAGACTGTTACGCCTACTGTGTGACTCCCTCAAACAGCCAAAATGCAGGTGATTAGAGAAATAGAAAAAGAAAAAAGAAAAAAAAAAAGCTGTGACCTGGTGTAAGGCAGATACTCAGAGAAGAGAATGTGCGTTAAAAGCCGAGATGTCTGGTAAGTGAAGAGCAGTATGGATAGAAAGAAGAAGAAGGAAGTGAGGAGGACAAGGGGGACAGAGGAGGAGGGAGGAAGAAGACAGATGAATCTGGGACCCAAGGCAAACACAGACACTCGGGAGGAAGGAGACAAAGAGCTAGCCTTTTCTAAAGCTTGGGAGCAAAAGTGAAGATGCCGGCCTGAGAGCTTAATTACACCCAAACCACCTCCCGAGTTAATGCCAGCACGTCCTCCTGCCATTTGGAGGAGCACAGTCCCTCTTTCTAATGAGAACACTGCACTTGGAACCTTGCCTGTCCCCGCCGCTGATGTGCCAAGCAATTTCTTATGCACAAATCAACGACGCTGATTCCGGGGATAGGTCGCGTCTCTGTTCTCACAACCATCGCAGGCCTAGAACGCTAACCCAGCTTGCAAAGGAAGCTGATCATGCAGCACTTCTATTTTCAAATAAAGGAAAAGCTTCACACTTCAATTGCTTTAGGTCGCCTAGCAGGTGTGACCGCAAAACCCAGGCCCTTCCTGAGGTCAAGCTCACCAAAGGAAAGGCGGCTCCAGTAATTTCCTTAATATCCTCACCTCGAATTTCTGTCTGAGCTCCACGTTTCCTTCTTCGTCCCCTTCTGGGATGGGTACATTGTAGTACTCACCTTCCTCTTGGTTAAGCAGCTTGTACCTTTGGGGGAGACACAGGACAGAAGGAGGGTTACGAACGCTGTGTTGGTATGATAGAGTCAGCAACTTCCCTCCTCCAACCCCTAGCCTGGCTGTTTCTAAAATGTGTCCTGTGGGGAGACTACAGCCAGGTAACCTCATGCTCAATCATCACTGCAGACTGAAGCCATTTGTTTTCTGAATCTCCTGGGGGCACTAATGTTTCTGAGACTATTAACCTTTGATTGACAAATTGCATATTCAATCTGCGGTGTCCTTACCATCCACTGGCTGGCATCTTCATCAGCTCTGAGACTCCGAAAGAAAGGGAGCCCATGAAATCATTCCTTGTTGTTCGATCCCAGTCCCAGATCTCTACGGACAGCCGGCGGTCTTTATCTGAAGGTTTTAATTTGCTACAAAAGAGCACACACAGATGGACACAAACACAAGGTTATCTAGACCACAGTTTCTTGGGGGCTACCACATGCTCATGATAGAGGAGTCTGAGATTAAAAAACTAGTAGTATATTCAATGTACTTCCCTCCCTACTGCCAACAGAGTACCAGCCCCCAGCAGCCAAAGCTCTAGACTGGCAGAGAGCAAATGAGGTCCCAGAGGCCAAATCTGGCCCTCTGTTTTTTGTAAATAAAGTTTTACTGGAACACAGCCATGGCCATTTGCATACGTACTGTCTATGAATGCTTTGGCTCTAGGTCAGCAGAGCTGTATGCTTGCAACACAGACTGTATAAAGCCTGAAGTATTTACTGACTGTCCCTTTACAGAACTTGCTCACCTCTGTTCTATATAAAAGAGCTACCTTTCTGGTCATCCATAGGTAAACCACTCCCTGTGGAGCGGATGTGCTGTTCTAGTCTACACGGATGACCACTTGGTTGTGCTTGGTTGCAGAAGTGCTTCCTTGTCCCTGATGGTTTTATGCCACTCCTTCTTCTCACTGTGTCCTTCCTTCTCTTCTACTGTCTCTGCCTCTGAAATCCCGGCACTCCTTTAAGCCTTGTTTAAAATGTCACCTCCTCTAGGAAGTCTTCCCTGCTAAAAGGTGAGGATGATGTTCCCATTTCAGTGGCAACAGCACATGACTCCTATATTCCTTGTTTTAAAAATTATTATTTAATTTCTTACCTTACCTTCTTCCAAAGCCTCAATAGGACTCAAGTCCATTAAGAAGTGGGACACGTGGGGTTCCCTGGGTGGCTCAGTGGTTAAGCATCTGCCTTCAGCCCCGGGTGTGATCCTGGGGTCCCAGGATGGAGTCCCACATCGGGCTCCCTGCATTGAGCCTGCTTCTCCCTCTGCCTGTGTCTCTGCCTCTTTCTCTCTCTCTCTGCCTCTCATAATAAATAAATAAAATCTTAAAAAAAAAAGAAGTGGGACATGCTTTATATACTTTCACATTATCTTTAACATAAATGAATCTTTCTGTACATGGTAGGTATTGATGATAATCTGGGGGACCTGCATTATGTAACTCTTGGCTACCATCTGGTATAACAGGTGACGGCAGCTACCACTTAGCCGTGGCCTGAGAAAGCCTTAGGAATGAAGCAACATTTAAAGACATTTATAACAGGTCCACCTCATCACCTCTCACAGTGAGGTGGGCAGTTCTGTGATGTGTAGGGAGGGAATTCAACTGGGAAGAGAAGACAAAACTTACAATGTAAAAGACTCATTCCACTGGGGATTCAGTGTAGAGCGGATGGTTTTGGTTTTCTGTTTGCTTTCATTCTTGGGATCAGGAATTAGTTTCAGCTTCACATAAGGATCTGAAAGCCCATTTGGATCCATAGGAATCAGATTCTTTGCATCTCGTACTGTGAAGGGAAAAGGAAAAAAAAAGATCAAATGTTATAAAAAGAGAACTGACCTGTATTGCAGTGTCCCATGTCGAGACCGAGTTGAATGACAGAGATATCTGTCAAGATGTGTTTAAAGGAAGAGGAGGTGATGACTAAAATGTCTCTGATCTTCAATATGAGGAAAGCTGCCTGCTGTCACTGCTGCCAGAGATAATGTGCATCACGCGGGCCCTGTGGTCAAGCCTTGAGATGCAGCACCAGCCTGGACCAGCAGCAGTAGTGACACCTGGGCACCTCATATTAGAAATTTGGAAGCCTGGGTCTCTCTCCAAAGCTGTTGAGATAGAAGCTGTATTTAAGCAAGATCCCCAGGTGCTGTCTGCAGCCCTTTTCCAGAACTGGTCGTGCCCGGCTCCAGGCAACCAGCCAACCTAGTCCAAGCCATTGAATTATTTGAGCTCCTAAAAGGATTCACCTTTTTTCTTTGTAAAGGCCAGTGACTTTCAATCTGGCTGTACATTGGAATCTCTGGGGTTTAAAAATCCCAGTGCTCACTGGGCACCTGGGTGGCACAATCAGTTAAGTGTCTGACTCTCGGTTTCTGCTCAAGTCATGAACTCAGAATCATGAGGTCGAGCTCCACATCAGGCTCCACACTCGGTGGGAAGTCTGCTTGTGACTGTCCCTCTTTCTGTTCCTTCCCCTGCTTGTTTTCTCTCCCAAATAGATAAATAAATTTCCAATGCTCACAGCTAAATTAGAATCTCTGAGGGGTGTAGCCCATGGTCTTAAAAGCTCCCCAGGTGATTCTACTATCCAGCAGGCGCAAGAGCCACTGATGCATACAGCGGTAATACAGAATATTCTCCCCAGGTGTGCTATCCAATGCTATGCAATGTGCACATGTCCATAGACCAGTAGCACCTGGGACATTGTGTGCTCATCAGATGTGTACAATCACAGGCCCCACCCCAAAATTACAAACTCAGAATTCTCACTTTAACAAGACTCCCAGATAATTCCAATGTACATCCTAGATTGAGATGCATTCATATGGGAATCTAAAATAATGAGGAGGAAAGGTCACCTCATCCACAGAGGGAGGCGTGGTTAGAGATGCAGAGAGCAAGGGCTTATTACCTCTGTGGGAACAGGTAAAGCTACTGCATGTAAATGAGATAGGTCATTATCTACCACGATGATGATAAGGACAAAAGCCTGAGCCTGCCTACCCCAAATGTCTTCCTCACCATTTTCTGATGACATCTTCCCCAACATGGCTGAAACTTCCCATCATCAGGGTCCCTAATTAGCTGACACCGTGAGTACACATGTAATTGGTTCTCCCAGCGTAGCCCCTGGACCAGCAGCCCTGGCATCACTGAGTCAGAACTCTAGGAGCAGGTGCAGTGATCTGTGTTTACCAAGCCTTTTGATTCTGATGCAGAGAAGAGTTGCGGAAACATTGTTCTAGCCTGTCATACAGATCATTAGTTTAGGGTGACTGTTAAGTGAAGTCCTTAGAATAATTTTACAAGAAGATGTTGGAGTTTGGCAGTGGGCAGACAGAGAGAGGGGTTGGAAGGATGCTGAAGATACTGGGCCCCAGGGCCTTGCCCTATGAGAAGTCACAGACCAACACTGCCTGTTCCCAGTCTGGGGACACATTAAGCACTCACACTTGCTGGCGAACAGCCTCACATCCTTTTTGCCTAGAAGCATGAGCACAGGCAGGTGACAGGACCGTATCCAAATGGTCTGAGTGTGGGGTGGGGGGATGGTGGGCTGGCTCATATCTACTAGCCACAGAGAAGCCAGGGTATCCTATGTTCCTTATATTCACTTATGCTTTCCAAGGATTTTCCCCCTAATATCTAACCTCATCCAACTGGGAGTGGGTACAACATAAGAAAGTATGCATGGGCTTTGCAGCTCAGTACACCTGCTTTCAAATCCTGTCCCCACCAACCCCCCCCCTCCCATGTACTCCCAAGCACAGGAAACATAAGTTCCTGAGCCTCTATTTCTTTACTCACAAAAAATGAAGAGGGGCTCATTCCCAGTGAAACAGCATTGTTGGGGCGAAGTAAATGAAATAGTTGTCATAAAAACAGAGCTCTCCCGCAAGGAACGGGAAGGGGCCAAAGGTCTCTCTCCAATTAATCACTGGAATGAGAATCAGATCCTTTTTAAAAGGCAGCTGAAGCCCTGGAATGTCTAACACGGAGGCTACAGCCCAGATAAACTAATGAGGAGCCACAGAGGCTGCCAAGGGTATTGCCAGTTACAGAACGATTATGGTGCTGGCGTTTTCATCTTCAATTTCTGGTCCTGACAGCCAGCACACACAGCATCGTTTAAGGCTGATCTTTTCTTCTTTTTTTTTTTTTTTAAGGCTGATCTCTTCTGAATGGTGATGAGTTATGGTCTTGATGGGATTTAAAGCTGTGGGCTTCCTACTGAGATACTATGATTGAAGTGGAAAATAAAAAGAGCTACCAATTCCAAACATCATTGAAATAGACAGTGGGTCCAAATTTCAATTTCCCATTGCAGTGGAGAAGAGCCTGCCCGGTGTGTGGCTGATTCATCACATACTGGGGCACCTGAGTAAGGACCTGGAGCAATGGACTTGGGGGCTCCCACTGGCTCAGACTGTGGGCTCTGGGGCCAGGCTGCCTGCGCTTGAATTCTGGCTCTGCCACTCTGGGGAGGGGGGTGGGTATAGCGCTGGGCAAGATCTGTAACCTCCCGGTGCCTCAGTTTCTGCATCTGCAAAACGGTACCTCCCTGGGAGGAGTGTGTAAGTTCATACGTGTGAAGTGCTTAGAACAGTGTTATGCACACAGCAAGAGCTCAATAATGATTATTATCATTGTTGTTAATACAAGTTGCTGGCAGAGAGCACAACCCTAAAGGCTTAGGTGTTCAGAAACTGGACTGGCAGCTTATGAGTTGGCAGGCGGGTGAAGAAGAGTATGACGTGGAGATTTTCTAACGTGGTTGCAACCGCGTGGTGCTGGCAAGGTCTTAACCTGGGAAGCAGTGCTGGAGGGGGTCGCTAACAGGAGCAGGTGCAGGGAAGTTAGGGATGAGAAAAGAAGAGCAAAACAAGCGGGGTGGTAGATGAGAAGGGTGAGAGGCAGGAAACAGAAAGAAGAGAATGTGATCAAGTTGTAGGGTCAGAGGGCAGTGAGGATGGTGCCCCTGCGGGTGCTGATGGTGGCTGGGTACCCCAGGGCAGTGGTTCTCCAGCTCAGCTGCACATGGGCAACAAATACTGATGTCTGGGCCCCACCCCTACAGAGTCCCAATTTAATTGGTCCTGACTGAGGCCCAAAGTGGCATTAGCAACTTTGAAGCCTCTCAGGTGAGTATTGCATGATACCATCCCAGGCACCTGACCGATGTTCTTACAGGGTGGTCCCTCGGCCCACATCACTGGCATCTCTTGAGGACTCAGCATATTACGTCAAAAAAAAAAATCCACTCACTTTTTAATACTCGGCCCTTAAACGGTTTTTTAAAAATTTATTTGAGGAGGGAGGTGAGGGAGGGAGAGAGAATCTCAAGCAGACTCTCTGCTGGGCACAGAGCCCTGGGCTCCATCCCACGACCCTGAGATCACGACCTGAGTCAAAGTCAAGAGTCTGATGCACAACCCACTGCACCACCCAGGCGCCCCTTAACACTCAACACTTAAAAAGGAAATGTGTTACTCCGGTAAATGGAAAACCAAGGCTGTCTGCTATGAGGAGAAAGGAACCATAAAAATAAATACAATGCCTGAGGCCTACTCTTAGTTACAAAGGGGAAATTAAACCAGGGTGAATGCTTAGGACATTCCAGCCCCAGATGGAGTTCCCCTCTACACCGTACTACCAATAATGAAGGAAAGCTGGAAAGGGAGTAACTTTCTCACCATGTGATTGAATGCTTTCTAATGTCAGATCAGTGCCTTCAGGAATCCTGTGGAGCACGAGCAGAAGTCCTAGCCTGTCGGGTCCTGCCCCACATGTGAGAAGCCCTGTGCCAATTATGAGGCACAGAGGAAGGTGAGCATTTCACAGTGGGGCCAAGAACAGACCCGGCACAGGTTCCGTGGCTCATTTCTAAGTCTCTCATCTTCTGTGACAGCCACCCTGTTCTGACCCTCAGACTTCAGATCGGAACAAATCTGCTGTGGAACCTCTTGATGGGACTCTTCGGGGCAAAGCTCTATCATGCCAGCTCAAGTTCTGAGAGGTCGACGGTCTCTAAAGGTGGTGGTGGTGAAGTAGCACATCCCCTGCCCCACTCCAGTGCTGTGGCACTAATCCACACAGGCCCTGAGCCCCCTGGAATGCATGTGGGAGGAGCTCTTGCTCTCGGCATGTCACAGCAGTTCTGCAGCTTCCGTGAGAAGGACACATCTGCTCAAGAAGTATGTCTGTGCTGTGGTATTGGCACTTTTAGAATCAAAGTCTGTTCTATAATTCCAGGACTTTAATAGAAATGTAGAACATGAGTTGTATTATCATCTTTTGGCTTGAAGTGTGGCTTTGGAAAGGATCGGCAGTCAAGCGTTAAGGAAAGCCACCCTGGGTTGAAAGGTTATATAATTTCTTGATTATGTAAGGTATCCCTCCTGGATAAAATCCATTCAAATAAGATTATGAAGATTGAAAAACACCTCCACGGTGCCTCAGGGATACCTGACAGAAGTGGCGAGGCAAGCCCAGGACATGGGGGTTTTGAGTAAGTGTTCAGGCATATGAGCTGGCTCATCTAGAGCTTGGAGGCGGCCTTACCCAGACTGGGAATCTGCAGCAAAAGCATCTGGTAGATGGCACAGCCAACACTTAGGAATGAAGCCCGGGATTTTCCCAAAGGTCTGTTTGAGGGGGAAAAGTAGGTGACCACCATGCTTTCTCAGGGAGAGGCCAGCCAACCCCATAAAGACTGCCAGTTAGGTGACTGTCAAATGCCCATCTGAGGACATACAATGACAGTCAGGCTCACTACACTTGCAGATA